TCATTTGATGCGAGAAATATGAGTTGTTATTTCAGATTATGTGTGCAGTGGATGTAGATGATCTTTAGTTTGCCAGACCCTCCAGAAAAACGCAGGCTAAAATCCTTGATTATGCGATTAAACATGCAGGTTTTTATGTGATTTTATGCGGTGAAATTGCGGGAAGTTGCGAAATATGCGGAAAGTTGCGAAATATGCGGGGAAAAAGAATTTTAAAAAAATTAAATATTGGGCTGTCTTATTTATTCTCTCTCACACACAACCTGCCACTAACGTTAAACCACTTTACTATTCAATTAAACACATTCAATGTTTATTTATTGTAAAAGCAATTGGGCTATTTTAATCTCACACGGCCTTTTGATAAATATGCGGCCTTTTAAAAATCTGCGCCATTTTGCTGATTATGCGGTAAATTCTGCGATCGCAGAATAGCGTTTTTCTGGAGGGTCTATTATTATACATCCATGCTCTCTAGCGGGGACTGAAAAGGGGGTAAAGTTCTCATGAACTAAGTTCTCTTTTTGGTGTGAACGCAAAATCCCAGGAACATTCGGAACTAAAAGGGAAAAGTACGGGGAAAAGTACTCCGGTGCGAAAGCGCCTTATAAGTCATCACAGGATTCAAACTAACAATGATCACTTTCCAAATTCAATCTCAGGCACTTCATTTCAGCTGTCTCCTCATTCATCCCCGCCCTTACTTTCGTGACATAACGATGTTGGATGGTTGATCTCCTTCCTCAGCGCTCCCCTGCTTTGATTTCTTATCAATCCATACACATATGACATCATTTGTCAAATTGATGCATTCCGTTTCACAGTGAAATGTGTCGTGTGTTCTGTACACCCGGCGTGACCCCTGTGAATCGTACGCGAGCTGCTCGGTTCACAGCGTTCATTCATTAATTTGGGAAGAATTAGAGAGAACGGAACCTGTACTGCCAAATTCAACCGCATAGGCATTTGATCAGAAAACATTGTGACAAGAGCGTTCTTAACTGAGATCGAAATGAACTGGAATACAGATGTCCCACATGTAAAACCAAATAACCAAACATCCCCTAAAGTCAGAAAGAGAGTGCATCGTAGCCTGAGAAATTATTCAGGCTTATTAAGCTGAAGTGTAGCTTGACTGCACATTGAGGGAAAGTTGGAAGTCTCATATTCCCATAAAACAAAACAAATGAAGTTTTCAGTATATCTTGTGTATGCCGAGACTGGAACTCTCAATGGGCCTGTGGTATTTTAAACGTGATTGGGTCAACGATTTGACGTGATCTGTTCTGTAGTAACTATGCCCAGGGGATTTGCTCCGTTTGAGTGATGCTGACTGAGCCATGTGGCCCCCTGTTCTCATCAATGATAGAGGTCTGGCTAAGGGATGAAACGGAATGGGATATGGAGGTGAATGGAGACTTCTAGTCATCTTTACGACCTTGTGAATTATTCAGCAATACCACGCACGCATGCACGCACGCACGCAGTTTCTACAGAGCAATGTAATCAAATAAGTGACAACACAAACACACATTCATCAAGGCATCAATAGTTGACCTAAACCGATTAAAGCACTACTAAATGTGTATCAATTAACTCAAAAATGTATGTTATTTGTCTGAGCATTCCTTATAAAAACACAAGTCTGTTTTGGCTCCATTATACAGCGAAGATAGAGAGGTATGACTTTGTTAAGTCGACAACGGTAGTCCTTATCATGTCAACACAGACTAGAGGCGGCCGACAGAGCAGAAAATATGGTAGCAAGGATGCAGAGGTGCATCAATGTTACCTGAAGAGACCCCTCCAGCAGAGCAGATAGAAATCAAAGGACTCTCGGGTTCGGGCTGAATGCTCCCTCAGAGGCCCAAAACTAGCTTTCTAATAATTTGTGCTGTCAGCGGGAGGGTCGGAGTAGAAGTTATTAATCCATGTATTAAAAAAAGTGACGTGATATTTCCACCCCTTGACACTGCTGCCTCAGTAAATCTATCAGGAATGAACATTCTGACACGGGGAGAAACATGCCATTTCCTCGTTAGTCTCACAAGTGTATGGCTGTATTCTCACCACAGTTGTAACAATTGATTCTTTTTTTCCCTTTGCACGAATGCACATAGATTTTATGTTTGAAAATCAGTGTGTTCCTTTTCCTTCGATTTACAGTCTGGACCACTGTGACAAGTATTTTGCATGCTTAAATCTGGGTGATTGTAAGAGGAGAAAACCAGGCACAACAATAGAAAAAAAAGCTAATTGTAAACCTGATTGCTTCTTGTAAAGTAAGTATTGAAACATGTTAGAGTAAAAAGGGAAATGGCAAAATTCAAAACCAAGTATTATTAAGTTTTGGGCTTTGGTTTGGTGTATTTACCTACAGCACTGAAACAGCCGTGTATGGCAAAATGATAGGAGCAACCCTCTTGAGGCTTGAAGACTAATCTCTGACTGCTATGGATTTGGTGTGTGTTAATACGATTTAAGCCTTAAAATGTTAATCCTTAAGATCCTTAAGACGCTCAATGAATTTGAGCTTTGCAGCATCTCCTCTGTATGTTAAATACCATCTCTGCTGGTGGAGTCCTCCATAACAATTGCACAGATGATGTGCAAGAAGACATAGAGACAGAGCTATGAAATAGGTTAATTGTGGCTAAATAACTGGTAGCTTTGTGTAAGGTGTATTTGCAGCAAGATGAGCCACTATTCTATTTAAAATAAAATAACATTTTGTCTCAGTCTAACCATGCTGGTTTACCTTTTCATGTTTTATGTTGAGATATGCATGAGGTGATAATCAGTCCTAGCTGATTTATGCTAAAACCAATGATTTTCATGATTCACTTTTGAAGCAGAGAGATATTTACATCTATATAAAGCTAAGTGGTCTTATCTAGAACCATACTGTAATTAATACATTTACAACAAGGAGATCAAAATGGATTATTGTATGCCAATTCAGATCCAATGAGATATTTGGAAACCATGACTTCAATGGCACACTACGGAAATACTCTGCCTTCAAAAAACGTTTCTCCTACTTAATGGTTATGAAACTACTTTGGTTGTGCTTGAAATCTGGCAGTCTTAAAACATATTTTGCATGTTATGCTTTTGGTTGTTAAGAACATTTGCTAAAAAAAATATGTGAACTGCAAAGGCATATATTTGACAGCAATCTAAGAGTTTGCATGTAATCTCGGAGTTGTTGAGAAAAGTTTGGCTAGTAAAGAAGTGGAAGTAGAAGTTGATCTTGTAAATTCAGTCGTCAATTCGATCAAACCTTTGCAAGTGTATTATGATTGAAAAAATTGAAATAGTAGATTTTGCAAACCCCTACACACTACACAGTTTAGTACCAATGCAACCACTTTTTCCAAAATGTGCTGAGTCCATTCCAGACCAGACAAAACGAATGATTAGAAATAGCTGCTGGTATAGCCACCAATTTGTTCCGACCTGTTTAGAGGGTCCACCACGATGGCCCGGGGGTGTGACATATTCCCTTCCAACAGAGTCTTCCTGGTTTGTGAGGCTCTCTCCAGTCTGGCAACGCTGATTGTCTTTCTGTAGCCATCGTTGGTCCAATACAAGTTATTCCCAATCCAGTCCACCGAGATCCCTTCAACATTGTCCAGTTCTACAACAGAATCACCAAATACGTGTTCTAAGGTTGGATACAATAAAACGTGTGCAGTATGGCTTTCATTGGTTTAACAAACAGAAATATCTGTGTTTAATGAATGTAAAATATGTTAGAGCAACTAACAGATATTACTACGATTGCAAGGAATGAATATGAATATGATCAGCTTTCAAGTATGTGGTATCCTGAAGGGTTGTATATTTACTTAATTAACATTTAGTGACATTAAATATATCTCTAATATTGAAATAGAAAGATGCTGTTTGTATAAATTATGAATCATTGATAACTGTCTGTCTACAGAGCAGCCTTTTGCCGGATTAGTAAAGCAAATTCAATAATATTTTATACAAATGAGCACAACATTTAGAATATAATGAGTGTGTTTAAGTAGATGAGGGTGTTAGAAGTGGCCCTAACCGTTCTTCAAGTTGGTCAGGACTGACCGATATAAAGTATTGAAGTCAGTTTACTGTATTCTAGGGAAATGCTGCAGTAAATAAAACAAATTACACTTACCATCTTTGAGTATCGTCTCTCTGCTGTTTCCATCAATTTGTTGCCGCCCAATAAGGAAACTGGTGGTGTCAGCAAAGTAGATGTGTCCCGATTCTGCATAGTAGTCGATGGCCCGAGGGTTGACCAGGTCCTCGATTGGAACAATGTGCTCATCGCTGGACTTGATATTCATATCCAGGCCTCGGATCACCCCTGGACGCCCCTTACCGTAGAACAGGAAGAGATCGTTTTTGGGCTCTAAGAGGCAAGAAAGGACGGACCTTTTTTTACTGTTATTGTCATTAATTGGTGTAATTTATCAATGCTGATTCAAGCATTAAACCCTCTTACTGGCCACATTGTTTTATATGAGAGCCAGAGCCAAGGCCATCCATTCACCTTAATGGAGCCAGTAATCAGTGCCAATAAATTCACTCTACCCCTTCAATCATGCTCCCGCTACAAAGCTGCCTTGACAGTGGGAGAAGGAAAATGCCTGAGCAAACAGACAATGGCAATACTTACCTTGGCTGTGAACACTGCTTCTGAACAAAAATACCATGGTGTCTATGTAGAAAGGCAAACAGAGAGACCTAGAAAGCTGAGGCAGCTCCTCGGCGGCCCGCCAGCCGCAAAGGGGCCTGTATGTTCTCAAACCCTTTGGGATCCTCGGGAAAAGGCAAGAGGAGAATAAAGGAGGGCTTCCTCTCCTCGCTCTCAGCCCCTACCCAAGAGACTGGGATGCTGTGGGTGAGGACCACACATGCCTCCCTTCAATTTATCATTTTGTGAGGGAGATATCAACTACCCAGGAGAAAATTAAGGATTGCGAGAGACCCAGATATCAAACCCCGTGGTGACTGCTGTAAGAAGAAGCACTACCATTTAGCGCCGAATCTCATTATACTTAGGGAGACGGAAAGCGCGGGCAAGACAGAGATAGCTGGTGTCATCAGAACATCTATGAGGGGGGAATAAATCAACTGTGTCATGGCTAGTCTCTCGATGCATCGTTACCCGATCGAACACTGGTGGGCCCCTCTGATTGTGTCATCAATTTGATCTTCTGCTTTTATTGTCAACTACACAATGTCCAGCAATTGATCAGAGCAGCCAACAAATGCAGATAAACTTAAATCCTCATTATGGCGATAATCAATCAGGCCGGCGATAGGTCGATAGCGGAATGTCTCTTTCAAATGGGTCTGTGTCCACTAGTGCTCATCTCTATCAATGTCAGACTACAAAGCTGACGCATGTGTGGCACTCTGTTAGCTTTAGTATGACGCATGACCTTTACCGGCTAATGCTAATATCAAAGGGAGCACTGATGCAAAACGTTCTTTTGAGGCACTAATGAGGATTAGTGTTCTTAGAGGAAGCACTACCAGTTATATGACTGTTTACAAGAACATTTACTTCAATACACAAAGTTGCACACATTTTCAAATGAGGGCTGTCATTGTAACACATTAACACTTGTGATTAATCTGGACACCATAACATTTATAAAAAAGAAATATATGCAATTGATTGATATTACCAAGCTTGACCCCAACTTCCTCCCCCTCATTCAGCCCGTATCTTTACCATGAACTGCATGGTAGTGAAAAGTTAAATAAAACTGTTACATGATTCATCTTACCATTTGGTCATGCATTTATTTTATATTAATTATAAACACCACATGTGTTTTTGTTACAAAAAAAAGGTACATACTAGTATTTCAAACCTGTGATTAATCATAATTCATTCAATTAGTCACAGATTATTATGGCGATTATTGCGATCGATTGACAGCACTAAATTAAATCTGAGGAAAAATATGAACTGACTTTTACAGGACTGTCCGTCTGAGTCCAGACTGTATCCTGTACGGCAGCGGCAGGATCTGGACTTGTAGCTGCCACTCAGAAGGCAGATATGGGAACATCCACCCGGCTTTCCATACAAAACGATTTCACATGCGTGACTCCTGACTGTGGACATAATCAGAAAGGACAGATTAATCATTATAAGTCAATGAAGCATCTTCCCTCTGTACTACCCAGACGCCTGCTTGTGAGTCACAACATGGGGAGGACTGTGACACAAACATTCACATGTGAACCCATCTATCAAATGTCCTGTACCTTTTGGTTGAGTGAGTTTGTGGTAAACACGGAGCCCCCTGGTATTCCCCAGGCTGGCCATTGTCCTGCTCTCCGCTGTCATGTTGAACCTGTGGATCTGTAGCAGTTCCACGCTGGAACTCCCTTTGGAGGAGTCAGAGTGGGTAGCATATAGATAGTCCTCAAACACGGCTAATGCATAAATATAAGTCACCTGGAAAACAAGAAGACTCATGTTTAGAACATTAACTTCATCCCTGAGGACAAAAATAGGTAAAACCAGCTGAGAAAACAATACAAATGTGTAATATTTTAATTAATCATGCAACAATCATGACGGCGATAGGAGAGCGTGGTAAAGCTGTCTGTACATTTGGCATGCCAGACGGGATCACAAAATGGACTCCACAGGGAGGCCTATGGCCCTGACACACAGCCTCCACGCTACATTTAGCAGGCTGACACCCACACAAAGCGACATGGCCGGATGAGCCGTATTCACAGGAAGTACACCTCAGCTCACACCTTAACTTCAGGGGCACTGAGAAACATGCAGAGAATAATTAAATAAATACAAATCTACTCAACCGTCTCTCTCTATGGATTTGGCCTCACCACTCTACCTTAAAAAACAATCTCACACAAGACTGTGTGATTATTGCACATGAATCTTTGTCTATGTGTAATGAATGCTTTTTGCTGCTTGCTGGATTGAATGTGAGGAAAGAATCGAGCAAACACGATAGACATCAAAGGAATAAAGTAAAAGTAGGACTGTGTAATGTAATGTAACACATTAGAAATTCAATGAAATCATATTTTCGTATCTTTATCTTTCATTGCCATATTACTTATCTACAGAATAACAGCAGCATGTACTGTAGCCATCATACAATATTGAAAGCTTGTCTGAGCATAATTCAACAGTAACAAGCATCCAATATGAGGGGTGGGCAAAATTCAATATGATCAGATTTTGTTGAAATGAAATGAATCAAATATTTAAATATCATGATACATAGTTCTGTAGAAATTGAGAACAGCAAGCACATACTAACTTCAATTGATCAGAAAATCTGATGTGAAATATTTAAAAAGAACAGAATTTCAACATAATGGCATACTTTACCACTTAATGTGATTAAAAACTGGACTACAGTTCAACGAAACCATTGCCTCAATGCTCTGTATTTGTTGAAATGCCTGTAAATGTAGTCAATATGTAGCTCGAAATAGTTGTCTCTATAATTGTACTTATTATAATTTTAGTTATTAATTGAATTACAAAAAAACTATAATTTTCATCTGTGACATATTTGTTCATACAGAAGTTTACAAAAATAAGCCTTCGCATAGGATTTGTTCATATGGACTAATTGATTCTAACTTAATTGAATCACCAGAAAATATACTATTTTAAGATATAAATTGAATTAATATATGAAAGGACCTTTTACGTGATTTCAGAAGTACAATACAGTATCTGTATAAAATGACCGTGAGGTAATAAAGACACATTTTGATTTTCTGTGCAACCTTTTCTGAGGGCACCTCTCATGTACAGTATGACCCGCTTCAAATATGACATCCTGGGACATTTTGAACTGAAAGTACTTGAAATTAGCTTGATTTGAAAAATTACACAAAATTGCGTAGTCATCTAGTGAGTTCATCTGTGAGGAAATGTGTTGCCTCTGAACACTGATAACACTGGCTATGATACAAATAAAAAAAAGTCTATGGAAAAGATGTAGGAAGAAGCTGCATGGCATTTGTCCTTGAAGATGCATGATCCTCTCTAACGAGGCCACAAGCTAGAGAAGGAGGCAATATTATGCAAAGAACACCTGCATACAAAATAAGGTGTTTGAAATGTACGTTTCCTCCTCATAAAGGGTGAGTATCTAGTCCAAGTTGCTTGAAAGGGCGTTTTAATGAATAGTCAAAAACACTGATGAAAGGCTTCAAGCAGGTACTTTGGGGAACGAGACTATTGATATGCTCATTTGGAAGACAGACACACATGTGCCTCGATTCCTTCAATTAAATTAGCCATCTATATTCCCCATTCAATAGACCCTTTTTATAAAAACGACTAGAGAATTAAAACAACAACCAGTGAATGTACCACCTGTCTTGCACTGATAAAGCACGGTGCCCTAAATCAGAAAATTAAAAAACCCCTCTCATGTTACAATTTGGAGTCTCCTAAATGAGACGCTAGCGATAGGAGAAGCCAATTGTCTGTTCGGATTCCCAATGACGTTAGTCCACAATGGCTCTGTATGATGTGGAGCCCATTAAAGACATAAAGCAGCGTTACAGTGAAATGTGACACTCACTTGGCTCCCGTGAATAATGGTGTGCCTGTTCCTGCCGTTGTAATCCATCACATCGATGTAATCCAGGAAGGCATCTGCCCAGTAAACCAGTTTCTTCACAACATCCAATGCCACAGCTGTGGGCTGCTCAATTTTATAATCCACCAGCCGGGTCCGGTTTGTGCCGTCCATGTTGCAGCGCTCCACCTTGGCCACGTTCCCATAGTCCGTGAAGAAGAGCATTCTACAGAGGGTGGAAGAGTTTCAATGATTATATGGTGTTAGGGATGATGCAAATTTGTAGAGCGAGCAGTGTCATTATTGTCTCCAGATCTTCTTAGGCCTTATACATACAATACAAAAATCTATAAAAAATACTTTTCCTTGAAGTACACACATTTTTTCAGGCGTGTTTATTATGACGGCACATTTGCTTCAAGCCATTTGATAAAAACAGAATGACCCTTTGAACACATAGAGCCATTTATGTTAATTCACCTGCAGTTGACTGTTCATTGAACCCCTCCGCAGTACAGTGACTGTACAATCGTAGCTTTGCAACTGCTCAAAGGGACGGCAGATTTGTAGAGCTTTGAATCTGTTCTTATGTTGAAGCAGAGTCTATGGCGCCGTAGCACGATATATGCAACAGCATAGTGTGAGGAATTAATTTAACGGTATGTTTATCTGATCCAACCTTATCGGCTAATATTACAAGACCTAGCTAACAAACGTAGCCTTCCGATCCAACCTCAGCGGCTGACATTAGCACACCTGGCTAACAAGCTTGCTGTTCCAAACCTAGCGGCTAACATTAGCATACCTGGCTAAGCTTCCCTACAGTCGTAATCTAGTGTTACTTCTGAGGCCAAGATATAGCATATCAACAGGTAATTAAAGTGTGTATGTGATTAAAAACTATTCCAGTTGACAACTAGCATGTGGTTTTGGAGCTGGCCTTAAGTGGAAACATAGAGTGAGCTTTTGTGTTTGCCAAAATCATTGGTAAGTCACCATTTACAAAGCTTTTCCTTTTGGAATGCTCAAACGGAAACATACAGTAACAATCTACACGGTTAATCAACTGTTTTTTAACCAGGGACCTGTTAGCCTCAGTGTTTTGGTATGATAGCATGTAGTCATCCAATGCATATTAAAGAGCACATTTACATTATCCTGGTTTTAAAAATGTCAGATGTGAAATTGACATTTTATAAATGGAAATGAAGGGTTTTCTTTTGTCCACCGCTCTCCCCAATCAAAGCCCCATTGATTAAAGAATGTGCAATAATTACAAGTGGTAAATATGCGAACCTTATGTTTGCTAATTAATTATATGGTGTGACAAAGACATTTAAAAGCATGGCTTCACTGAGAAGAAGTGGCTTTTATAATGGTAGACGTTCTTAAAAATGAAACTATTTTGGCATACACTTTGTATTATGTCATCTACTATAAGGGACCCTACATTTAAAACAATAAAGAAAATATGATAAGGCATGAATAAAGGTGATAGGTAGGATGGTTAAAGTCCATGTCATAGTTTAAACATTAAAAGTATTATCTTGAAGTCTGATCGAGCAAAACAGGGGGCAATATGAAACTTTTTTTAAACTTTTTTTCCAACTCACCAGTTGTTGGTATTAAACCATTTGCTATGTCCCAATCATCCAGTCCCAAATGTTGCAAGCCAATCTCAAAAGAAAATGAGAGTAGCTATAAAACAGCAGCATAAATCTCCTGCCTGCACATCTCTCTCTCAATTGTGGCTATACACCTGCTGTGGGCCTGCTACAAATGTGAAAAGAATGGCTTCTCAGACACCCAGCTACTTTTTTATTTACACGTACGCTCTTATGGGTAAAGCATTTATGTGGCTTTAGCATCTTTACATTTTTTCTGATTATGTGATAGCGTTGCTCGAAAAAGGCCCTTGTTCTAACGATCTCAAGACATTATGGCAGCCTATACTGTATGTTGCTTTCATCACATTCATTATCAGTGTCAACTGCATGCTACCTTACAAGCACAACATCAAATTATCTTGAATGAGAATCACAGAAATGCTTAAAATGGCTGAAAGAATGGTTAAAATGTTGAAGGGAGGTGATGACCCCAAACAGAAATGCTAAACATGATAATGTTTAGCATTCATTCTGTTGAAAAACGCCACAACATTATTCTGTTTCTTTTCGATGGGAACAACGGTTTGTGCTGAAAAGTAGTGTTGGAGAATTGCTTCAACCAAGCACAAGTTTCGGATTTTAAATACATGCTCCAGGTGGTGCTGTGTCACATTTGTTTCAACTCAATCTGCAAAGTACAGCAACTTAAAACAGCTACAGGAGTGCTGAAACAAATCAATCATTCATTTCCCTCTTAAATGTGGTATAATAAAAATAGCACAAAATAAGAAAACACAGTATCTCAGACTTAAGTAAGTTCATAAACAGTGCTTAAGGTAATGCACTTGCTTTTTCCCCACAGCTGTTACCAAATTAGACACAACAATGTGAAAATATGATAAAATATAGTTTGCTATGGAGTCCTAGTTTTCCTGAGTGTTTTTTAAAGCTTGCAGGTACTTTAATACAACAGCAAAAGCCGATGTGTGATTGTCCCAAACAAATTATAATTGCATTATGTGTTTAAATGTACAAAAATAATAATGTCAACAAATAAATCAGAAAGGCCTCTCAGGACTCATGTCTGTCAGGAGCAAATGTGAAAATGTGCTGTTTTATAGCACCATATTACATAATGAGGTTGAATTCAATTAGTTGTTTGTGTCACAAAATGTGTCACTTTGAAACTATGACAATGGTCACAAGCCATTTGCTACCGTTATTAAAAGTTGATATCCGACAATCTTTTCCAAATCTTCTTAACCAAGTTTTCTAATTGTAACCAAGTAGTTCCAGATTGTGAGGGCACTGACTATCAATGCACCAATTCAAAAGAGAAGAACATGAGTCATGTTTTGAAGCAATGACGCACAAAATGTTATGTAATTAATTAAATAAAAAGTATGCATTCATAGTCTGTCAAGTTGTATACTCTATAGTACAACTCACTGGTGCTTTTACAAAATATAATAAAAATAGTCAAGGCACTATGTAAAAAGAGTTGAGAATAAATGTTAAATTAAAACATGATGCAAAAAAAGAATGTCTGAAAATGGCCATTTAAGGCTGCTTCTCAGGGTGCATAGCAGCTCTGTAACCTGGAGGCAGAGGCAATAAAAGCAGCATTTTGCATTTGCTTGTTGTAATTTGAGGACATTTAGAAGGCATCCTGCAGAGGACCTCGGGGTGTTGAGTAGACACAAAGTGATAGACAATGTGTGATGCGCTGAGGAGCCAAACCATTTACTACCTCAAAAGAACGCATGGAGGGACGAAAATCTATTCTGAAAGACACAGGGAGCCAGCGGAATGTAAGGAAAACACTGCGCGGCCATGGGAAAAAGGTGCTACGTGCAGTGTAATTTGTTTCTGACAATAGGGACTGAATCACATCAGACAAATTACTGAAGTGCCTTTTAACTCATGGTCACTTTAAGTATTGAAAAATGCTCAGGTCTGTAGGTACAGTAATTAACATGGAAGACTTGCCACACTGTCTTGCTGCGGTTGTGAAGACGGAGCTCCAACAACCGCCAATGATAACGAGCTTCACCGCAACGGGAAGCCGACTTAATCTGCACGAGTCAAGCCAGGGGGAGAGATGGGCTGCCCTTTGAACCTGAGACCATGGCTGTGCTAAAAAAACTGTCAGTCAGCAAGAAACCCAGCTCCCCGAACAGGTGCACCTTCACATAGCATACAAATGATAGCTTTCTGGGATCAGGATGGTGCTGCTGCTGAACTTGTGCATTCCGGAGTTATATCGAGATCCACGTTGGATTATTGACATTTCTGTTCAAAAAAAGCGCGTGAGACCAGTGAAAAACAGTATTGGCCTTACAATTAAATGGAATAGACTCTTACAACTGACAATGAAAGGCACACACTCAAAGTTGTTATTCTTGTTGACTATTTCATACAGCAGCGGAAGGAAATACATTCCTTCAGCTGCTTTGTTCAATTTTGTCGTTTTGACCTGTAACTTAACAACAAAACAACTATTATAGAAGTCAAGGACTCTGACATTGTGAACAATTATCGGTATCTGCTATTTGTACATTTGAAAACAAATAGAGATGCAACCAGAGTATGGCAAACACATTTTCTCTTAAAATAAATGTAATTGATGTTCTTATTTAGAATAGAGTTTTCAAATATAATTCTGCAAACATTCTAAATAATAAATTAACATTTTGTTTACAATGGCAGTTGTTTGGAGGATGTATATTGTATGTTTTATGCAATTGTACAGTCTAAGATGTACAATACATTTCATGTATAATACAACAAATGTGACCACCTAAACTAACTGTCTTCCACCCAAGGTGTTTGTACAAGCAGCATACAGTATAAGGAGCCTTATTCCTGTTTGTATCAATCTGACATCCCATCAGTAAGGTCAGCAATATCACAGAACAACTTATTTTAATAAAAACTATAATCTCTGTTACGCAATAATTAGTTTTGTCTTTACGCAACCAAGTAGTTTTGAGTAAATCGCCTGTTTCACAATGTTAACCACATTTTTGAATGTGTGACTGTTAAAGGAGCCCCATTATGCTAATTCCTAAGTTTATATTGACATGTTTATATACTATATGGTTAAAAAAAAGTATGATTTTCTCTCATACTGCGTGTCTCAGAGAGCCAATTCAGCTCTGATTGGTGTTACATAGATGTCACAATGTTATGGAAGTAAACAATCAATGCATTTCAGGCAGGGGGGGAGATTTGGGATGTTAGCCTATGAAGACCATTTACATCCACATAAACCTATACATTACACACATGAAAGGGATAACCTTTTTCTGTTGCGCCAGAAGGTTGATATTTTTGGGTTTTAGTGAAAACAACTCAACAACCATTAAACGGATTGCTGTACAAATCGGGGAAACCTACATTTATGGTCACAAAAGGAAAATGGTAATAACCATGCTGATACATTCATGTTTAAACTGGAACCATTTTGAGGGCAAAATTATAGCTGGTCTAATACCAAAAAACGAAAGATTAAATTAAAAAAACTTGACAACGTTACACAGAACATAATTAAGACAGTTATTATGTCCCAAAACACACTGTCGAAACAAATGGGTTCTAGTATTTAAAACAAAATTTCCAGGGGATAGGGTTGACTCTTGATTCTTACACACATGAGTGAAACCTTCATATTTCATTTTTAAATCATCTAGGCCTCAGTAATCTTTTGGAAAAAACAGATCACAATCTTTCCAGTCCCTGATGCGCACGGTACATGGTGTACACCTTTAAAATAGGACTCACAGATAGCTTGAATTTTAGCTGATGAACGCACCATACCATCAATCAAAGTCTCCTCCACAAAAGCTTTTTAAAAGGAAAGAAGAAAGGGTTATCCATCAAAAGGCTTTCCCGTGGCAAAGTACAAATGCCTCATCTGATAATAAGAAAGGCAGGGAGAGAATCAAACAAGAATGAAAATGGAGTGCCAAACCGGGGCATATTCTATAAACACTGTTCCTCGCACTTTTCTGCTCTCTCACACCTCCCTGATTCCTTTTGTTTTCACTCCATTGCTCCAGGCTGACAGACCTATCTCAGACTCACTTTTTTTCAGAACCAACCATACCAATATCTCCCCAATTAGAGAGGTTGGAAAACGTCTGTGTCTTATTGTCAATCTACTATAGCCAGCAGCCTGCATGTCCAGCTCCCTTGTGGGCTGGAAGGCTCTCTATCCATACAATCATCCCTCTAGACACACAACGGAATGGGCGCTTATGTGGGTGTGAGTCATGTGTGATTACAGCAAATCTACTGAAAAACAAACTGTACTTATATTGTATCTAAAGGTGACTCAAAAGGAGCAAGCTAAACTTTAATCTCTAAGGTATTGTTTATTTTCTATAAGCCATATTGCTTTCCAACGGCTGACCAGCATTTAATGAGAACAAAAAGACGCTGCCAACCGCATCCGAAGCGTCCACATCATTAAGAAACCAGCAGCTAATTATTTTGATTAGAGCCAATGGTTCATGGTGGGAACACAAGCTGTTAAATAAAGCACAATATATAAACAGCAGTTCTACATCAGTAATATAGCTTAAATCAAATGATGACATGTTAGGATGCAGAACACATATTATCTTTGCCTTATATGGAATAAGTAACAGTTTTATCACAACTTGTGTAGAGCAGCAACATGCTACCATTGTTATTTATGTATTGAGGCGGACTATACCACAAACGTCAGCAAATGTGTATCACTGCTATTAGTCCATTGTATTATATCAGAAATAACTGATCCCAAATGTTTAATGTGTTTTGTCACAGCATCACACTGCACATGAGTTAAAAATGTATAGAAAAATAAAATAAAAAGTAGAAAGTGTCCCATATGTTATAGTACTAAAAATAAAATGAGTATCATTGTTATGGGTCTTGTATATCATTTTATATTATATTTCATTATATCATATCATGATATATTTGATTAAACCATATTATGATACGATATTTTAGATAAACTTGATCCCAAATTAGGAATGTGTTAGAAGGTGCAAAAGATGAATAAAATCAAATTGAATAAGATTTAATACAAAATGAACATAAACAGTCAAAAAATACATATCAACACTTATAAACCGGTTATAAACCCAGGATACTATAAATTATGAACATATATATATACTATTACTGCTTATTAAAAAACATGTACTGTTACATCGCATTACTTTATGTCTTGCTTGCTAAGAAGGGAGACAAGCTTTGAGCTTCTGAAACTGGTTCACATTTTAGTTCAGCTGCTGCAAGCAATTTATTTAATTTATGTTTGTTCATTTTGTTTTCATGCTTGATGACACACGTGCAATAAAAAAAGTTCAGTGTGACTGTCAACCACATGCTGTAACTGTTTTAGTTTTCACTCCGAGCATTGTGGGGATATTTCTAACTCCACAGTTGCTCGGCTTTTGTGTGATCTCTACAGAGACAAAAATCCTGTAATGGAAAGTCCTGAAGGGGCCTTTTCTACTGAGGGATGTGCGGTGAAATCAGTGAATACAAATGAATGTCTCGGCAGTAGAAGCTGTCTGGAGCGTCACCAGCTATCCGCCAATTTACACAGCTCAAAGAGAGGAGGGCTGAGTTGAAGGACAGGGAATCATTTAATCCCGTCATTGCGACTCACTCACATTCCTCCAGACAAGTCTATTGTATTGCAGAGTGATTTATATTTCTCTTCTCCTTTCCTTATTTTTTCCGCTTTAACAAAAGATGCATGATGATGAATGAGCCTTGCAGTATTCACAGATGCTGCAAAGGCTGCTGAACACTCACCCCATGAGAGGATCCAGAGCGATTCCTTTAGGATTCAGCAGGTCCAGTTGTATGATAGTAACACACGTGTCCCCCCCTTGGTTACAGACAAATATCTTATCATTTGTTGTGTCGACAAAATAAAAGTTGCCTGTTAGCCAGTCAATGGCCATGTGCTCCACATCTGCAATGGCAAAGAAGAGGTTGATTATTGTTTGATAATCTGTATAAAATAACACTTTCAATGATTAGCATACAAACAGAGAAATTCCCTTTGGTATGAACTTTGGGATTGTAGCCTTTGCAGACCATTCACCTGCAAAGAAAACTATATTACATACTACAGTAGAGGGAAAACCCCCAAAAGCATAATAGGGCCCTTTTATGTTCCTAACCCAGGTCTAAGAATACAGGGTCCTTCATTTCCCATAATGCAACAAACCGTGAGACACAGCATGTATCATACAACAGCTGTGGAAGGCAAATAAGGAGTCTACATGAAGTGTATACTGATCTTGGAATGTCAAAATTACGCGGTGCCGCTTTAAATTATACCATGGCCTCTGACAGTTGTGATTGGCTGGCAGGTTTCCTTTATGTTTTTGCAAAGACAGTTCAATCTGACACCTCTGAAGCAGTTTTGAACCTACAGCAATATATAAGGCCTAAAATATGACAACCCAGTGAATACAATCCACAATTTTGTTTTAAAGGTTTTATGTTTCGAAGAATCTGGGATGGAACAGCTACAGGGAGGGAAAGAGAGCGGTTTTGATGCAGCAAAGCTGGCGTCAGTTTGAAGGACAGCTGTAGGGGAAAGGTGAGCAGCCAAAACCACAGAGGCTAACCTGCCTTCAACCGCACAGATAATGAAGAGCAATAGAGAGAGCTCAAAGGTAATAGAAAAAACTACGAGAGCTAGAGAAAGAAAGGTGGATGGGCAAGTGTTTGTGAGAGAGTGATGTGTATCTCATCTCCTCTAGTATGGGAGTGTTCATGATTTAAGAGCAGATCATTACTCAAATGAATCCAAACGAGTAAATAAATGAACAAGTAGTTTGTACAATGAGAGAAGAAACTATCAAAAAACCTACGTTGCAGACTTTGTTGTGTTCTTATTTCCCGTTCCCGTGTGAATCCACGCAGATTCCTGGTTTCAGCACAGCGGAGCTGCCCAGAGGATTCTGTAGAAAGGGCCCAGCACACATTCTCCTGGTTGTGTTGGAAATCCAATGCCAGTGTTCCATTTGCACTTAGAGACCTCAGGGGCTGGAGGCCTGTTCCATTTAGATGGGTGATGATAATACGATCTGAACCGCCAATGAGAAGCATCGGACGGCTGTCACCAGGATCTGGAGTGAGGGGGAAAACATGGAACGTATTAACAAGGAAAGATTTCATTTATAAAAAAGTAACGAAAGTACAAACAAATGGTACAACTTTAATAGTGGCTGAAGAAGCACCCAAACAATCAAAAATATGTTATCAGAGCTGATTGATTTGAACAATAACACCAAATGTGGAACTTAATTAAATCCAGGACAGTCCAAAATACAAATAAGCTGCTTTAGGGGCTTAATTGAGCATTCATATTCTCTACTATTCACCCCCTAAAAAGGGATCTTATTTAGCCCTTTTCCCCACAAGTTCAAGTCAAGGGCTGCTCTCCTAATATAGGTAATACATCAGAATGCCTGCTCACAGACCTGCTTCCCTTTATCCCTTCTGAATAAATGTTTAGTAGTCATACATTTTTCTCCCACACTAGGGGGTAAATTGGGTTTGACCAAGCTCTCTCTGTGAAGCCATAGCTGATGTGGCCATAATGGCAGGGGTTTTTTTTCAGGACAGACCATCATAAAGTACATATTAAAATGTTTATAATATACAGACATATATTCACATGCTTGTCATAATGAAATGACATGAATGCATCCCTTATTGCAGCCATTTTTTTTCAGAGATGTGTTTGACAGCAGCAGGGGTACACGGGGCAAGGTACATAATATTACCAGTGTTATTTTCCTCAGAGGATGTTCACTATGAAAGGACAAAGGGCTAATGTGTATATGTACTATAATGTAATATATATGCTAAGTTGAATAAAGGAAATGAGTTTGACATTTTAATCATGTGCCTAGGGATAGGGACATATTTCTAATAAATAAAAAGTCTAATGAAAAGACCAAAACCTATAATAATTTGATCCTACAAACTACTGGCCATGTATTAAAATAAACGTCCACATGTTACTTTTACATTTGTTATAATAATCTTGGCATTTTATTGTATTTGAGTCAATCTTACATCCACCATCATGCTTTACTGAATACTATCACAATCACATGAAACATGTATTCATTTGCGGCGAAAAACAGCCCTGAAAAACACACTTTTTACTCCGGTGTGAAAAAACTTTAATAGAAAAAGTTCAGAGAAAAATACTGCGCTATATTTAAGCAATAGCTCACGACAGGCCGTTGTATATGTTCATTATATCACAGCTAAGGGCCGTGGACAACCCCCTTAGTGAAGTGAGCTATTGCTTTTATAAAACGGTTACAAAGTATGGCAATATGAAAGAAAAATACACACTCTTTAATTTAAATAGTTGTTATTAGTTAAACATAAAATAGTCCCTCCGTTGCCTTCTGCACAAACATAGTGCAAGGTGGTTGCTATGCAACAACACTAACGAGAGACAGCAAGCGCATTTCGTGGCATCTGCGGTAAAGACCGAGTTTTCGAACAGTTAATTTTCTCTTTCTGACGGGCTAAACTTTAAAAGCTACGTATATTTGTCCTCGTGAGTACAAAGATTAAGGCTTCACAACAAACCCTTAATCGTTCACAGCTTTTGGGGGAACACACCATCATAACGTTGTTACTGAAGTCTAATGAACCACCTTATCCTCTGAAAACGAACAGGCAGGGTGTCCGTCGGAACCCCCTAACACCAACGTACTACCACCCAAGTGCCCAGTGACTCACTTTAAGGGCGGTATTTTTCATTAACAAGGTTAGTCGCTTTCGCAAATCTCGCACAAAGCGGAAAGAGTAGTGAAAATAGGTTAAGAGTGAAAAGGAGAGAAGGGAGATCTCGGGACAGTCGGATCGAGTGGCTCGAGTACGACCACTGGCTATGCCGATGGCGCAGTACTGCTTCTTTGCCGTGAAGGACAAAAACGACGACTACCGAAACTCAGCCGCTCCTGCCACTTGTCCTCGCCGTCTCGCATCACCACCTTACTATGAAGAAAGCAACAACGGTCAGCTCAGGCGGCGCCGGGCCAGGAACATCAAAGGAGGGAAGTCAACGCGAGAAGCCTCAGTTACGCGAAGGGAAAACCAACGGCAGCCGGCATCTGAAAGGATCTACACATAGAATCCGATACCAGACAACTGCTGAACGAAGCCATATTAACTTGGTAACCGAACACCCAACGCCGTGTCACTTAAACAGTTGGGGCTCCTAGCTGCCTCGCCCACTTAATAAGGTAGTAGAACAACTATAGTCGTGTGGTAAAGAGACACAGAGAAAGAGTGTGAGAGATGTAAGAAGTATATGGGGCGGTGCCCTAACAAAGACTCTGCCGCTGCTCTCCTGTCCTTAAGAAACACCGACACAGTTCGTCCAGGAGCTCCACAGAAGAGAGCTTAGACCGTGGTCCCGTGGATATTATAGGATCGCTGTTATAGGTCGTAATTAAGTTGCTCTCGAAGCACAAACGCGCGTGCACGTCCGGCCGCCCAAACTTGCGACCAACGGACTTAGAACAATGACAAAGCGCGTCTCATGTGAAGTGGCTCGGTTTCATGTCTACAGAAGTAACGCGCCATAGCGACCTTCGTCCGGTCGATCAATCGGTCTGCGACTAGCACGCTCTCTCACTCTCCTTACACCCGAGAGCTAAAACACGAGGTGTGTGAGATTGATACACATGATTTGACTGAGAGAAGTAAGAGGAAATACACGAAGGGTATATTAAACTAGTAATACTTAGCGACGGTAGACCTCAAAACCGCGTACGTCAGGGTTTGCCCACGTGCTTTTGCTTGATACCCAGTATTCAGTCTGACGTCATACGACAGCTCCCTTCCTATAGTATAGACGGCCGGACTGCCCATATGAGTAACGTTTTCCGTCTGTTCACACTAACACGCCAGTGTCAAACGAACTATCTTACTGTAGTAGTAAATCCACGTATGAGAAAAAAGTACCAAGGATCCTATAACTTGTCTCCCACAAGACAAGTTGTCAAGCTTCAACCGTTACCCTGAGCAGTACGGTGGCATGATCACGAACACCATCCAAACCCACTGCTTACATATTAAGCGACCAAATTCTTCCCTTGCTGTGTATATAAGTAGTAGAAAATAAAAGCCCCCACCTAAAAAAGTGCTTCCTTGGTCTCCGGCTCGCACCAGGTCAACGCTCCTATCTCTAACTTATTTAAATTGTCGCAAGTCTCTAACATGATCTAACCCTTCGACGAGACCTCAGAGAAAACGTACCGGCCGGCGCGTGTACGAGGGATATGTCAGCGTAGGATATTATTACTTAATTTATTTGACTTATCGATGGACTCGTTACAGGCTACTCGTGTGTGTGTATGTCAGTTGGGTATTGATTCTGCGCGATAACAGCAAAATTCACCCGACGGTAGGGGGTGTGGAGGGTGGATTGGAAGCGCCGAGCGACGAGAGCGAGCATCGAGGTGGAGAGTTGGGGAGGCTAAGGAGAGAAGCTGGCACACTTTTAGCGCGCTCCGGGGCTGTGGTGGATGGGCTTCTCTTGTCGTGACAATCGTCGAAAATTAGTTCACTGACGAGGGATGGTCCCTTATTTGACTTATACTAATGGTACTTTGAATGCTTGGGCGTTACGAGCGTACGTAATTATACATTAAAGTCGCGTCTCGCTTATCACCGATTGTTCCCCTTGATTACCCAATATGAGGTATCACATTTTCGATACTTATGATTTAGAGCTAGTATCGTCGAGCCGCTGCTACTCCGGCGTCGGTCGCTTAGCGTTTTTGTATAATTGTTACCACTTACGACTCTAATTTCAATTTTGAGACGTCATTGTTACAAGAAAAACCTCAAATTTAAAACTTAACCTAGAGCGATCGCAAGACAAGTCTACTTTCATTTTCCATATTATAGAATAGAACAACAAGATAAACATAAGGTGCGGGTGTACGCCTAGATGTTGTGAGAAACCAACGAGACTATTACGCGAAGTTCTACTAAATACGATTTCACGTTGACATCGAGTAGCCTTGCACATCCCTATGAACCTACTACGGCATGATCTGACGGACCATGAGTCCTTACACCAAATTTTCGTACTGCTTGTTTATAGTGAGACACAGCTACACACCGCAATGTACACACCTGGTAATTCTCCCAAAGTAGGAGGTTAAGATTAATAAAGACTACGCCCAGGAACTTTCGTCTCTTTAATACTGGTAATACCGGTGCCACACTTTCGAGAGAGGTCTCGATTACCTTTGGTTTAGAGACCCTGCCCTCTTTCACCTCTGTTATAAGAACGGTGCGGTTCGTTTCGGCTCATGTTTAGTCGGATGACATGTTCATTGAGCGTCGGTAGAGATGGACTACGACTGTCAAAAAGTCACCCCACGGTTATTCGCGTTTTTTATGTTTAAGTTACATATTAGTTTATCGGTTTATGCTAGTTATCGGCCAAGAGATTATACGAGCGAGCGTACAATGCCGGGCAGCTGTGATTTGTCTGTAGCTTTTTCCGAAAGTGCGATGCGTGTAAGTGTTAACTTACCCCACCTCATCTTCTAGAAATAGAAGCGGCTTGACGTAACGACCCCTCTAGCCGTACCCGAAACGTCGTAGTGCTCGTAGATAGCCAGAGTTTTCAGCTTGTTACAATTTGAAAACTCCGGAGCTACCGACCGTACGTCGGTTAGTTAGGACTAAATACCGTGTAAGGGCGGTCATCGTTCGCCGATTCGGTAGTTCTGCCCATACGACTATGGCGTTCAGACTGATAAAGGTATCAGTATTTTACCTCCTATTTACTTAGTAACCGCACCGTTCACAGCCGTCAGACATACTAATGAGGACAAGTGGATGCGCCCTGCGATTTGGCCTCCTTGCGATTCCGTACGCCCTCCACCGTCTCTGTCAACCCTTTCGACCATCCAAAAGTTGCACAAACCCCTCAAATTAATAGGTCAAATGCAGTAACTTGTTCGCCGAAAAAAACGAAACATACGCCCCCCGCCCGCCCTCTAGGGACTAGACCAACAACCAGCGGAACCGCGCTCTTTAGCCGGTCGAGTCTGTCG